AAAACGATCAATCGGATCGCAAGAATTATGGACTTCTCTCTAACCGTCGCGATCTGATTGATCGTTTTCGGCACACAGGGTTTTTCGGCACGTAGGGACGGACCTTAGTTAAGTAAGTAGCATAGTTGTCGCACTCTATGGTGCGTGAGGAAAAATGTGAAGAGGATTGATCTATTATCATCTGCGTCGTCTCATCTGCTTATATAGAGACTATCGGCCAATCCACGGTCAATAAGTATGTGGTATTATTAACAAAGTTCATGCCTCCAACAGATGCTCAGTTGCAACAATAGTTCATAACATAAGCTATCTGACGACTCTGACGACAGACTCGCAAGCCTCTCGGAGAGCACTGAGCATTCTGGGCATCTTTTTCCACCAAAACGTTATCACGTATTCGAAGAAGGCAGGAACAGAAACTTACATTTTCCTCATCAAATATAGTATAATGGTTGCCTGGAACGCTAATGACGTTCTGGAAAAAGTCCGTTCGATATTCTTGCCAGCCGAGAAGCTGCTCTCGTGGTCCGCAACCCAATGTTTTCCATTCTAATGGCATATCTTCCACCGAACGAAGTAAGATAGTCGGAGGGAGCTTAGTACAGTCGGTAGTCCCCTTTTGCTGTCCTCCATTTTCCATCTTCAGTTGCGAACAGTGTGACTTACGCCATCGCATTAGCATGTGCGTCGCTTCACTCATACGTCCCGATAGATTCTTTCGAATATCTTCCGAAGTATCTCCACCGAATACAATTTCAGGAGGCTGGAGTTCTGATGCGTCTACCTTCAATGTAGGATAAATGGTCTCAATCATGATCAAACCTCGTACAGTCAAGCTGTCATCATCTTGAAGTAGGTATGCTATTTCTAGAGCAACACAGCCTCCAATAGACCAGCCTATATATTATATTGCAAGTTTTAGTATAATTGATAAATTGTAGTCATCCGAATTGCTCTGGGGATACTTGCCTCCTATGATTATGTCCATGTTCAATGCTACTTCTTTAATGAGAGAAGCATATGTCTTCGCCATATCGGTAAATTCCCCATTCCATTTGTTGAAATCATTCACTCTAGGGTTAAATATACCCCAAACATCTCTGCCTATATCATATATACGCAAATATGGAAATATGGTTCCCCCGCCACCGTGGATTAGAAAAAGAGGTGCTTTAGCTGTTGTCACCTCATCGATAAGATAGGGATTGTCCATGATAAACTATTGCAGTAGAGGAAGTGAAGCAAGAAGAAATGCTGGCAGGATCAGCTTCTATGTTCCTGGTTAAATCAAACAATGAGAAAAAGTAGAGACTCGCTGAGTTAGGGGGATAGAATAGGGACAGCTTTTCGGAGCCAGGTCGAAGCGAGCCGGAGCCAGTTACTTTGCATCAGCTACAGCTTAGCCATCTCGGTTATAAATTAGGTAAAACAAACGGCTATTTGAACGGAAACGTACCTGCCGCACTAGTTAGACGCACAGGAGTGGGAATACAAATCCTGGAAAGCAAAATTCCGGTTCGGATGCGCAAGCGGCATGAATCTAATTAACTAGATTATGTATTGAGTACGGAGTAAGTAGTTACACTCTCATGCACTTGCAGCTTCCGCTTTGCGCACACAGCCCAATTGTCATCCCGCGCAGGACACGGACCCACCTGGTGTACGCTCGTCCAAAAAGAGTTAAGCCATGTAAACATAATGCGTTGATTGGTCTGAGAGTTTAAAAGAAGACGCATCGCTGACAGAAACTAATACTATTTGGGTAAGATTACCACTAAGCGACAGAGGCTTAGCGTGGGATCAGTGATCGCCTGCTTACAGAAACCGGAAGCTGCAACTGCATGAGAGTATACAGGCTCTCTTCATCCGCATCCCTAATGTGCTGTAGAGGCTCTTGGCGCCTTCCTACCGGCTGGGCCGGCTCCACGTAGCGACAGCCGTACCACTTGGTCACAGGATTCACTATAAACCAAGTCTTTTATTGCTGTAGGCATTCAAATTGCAGCTCGCGAGACATTGTCAAGCATATTAGTTAAATAACACGAGACCCCAGTGCTAGTACTCGCAGGGTCCTTTTGATGTGTGATATGTGTTTGCCGTTGCGGTCCCCGATCAAAACCGGACCGTTTCGGTTCGGATCTCCAACCTCGTTCGGCGTTCCGAGGCCCATCTGGCTGAACAGGAGGACCCAGAGAGAACTACGAGAGCAAACCAAGTACTCAAGAAGATTATGCAGAATCTACTTCTACAGAGTCGTGTATTAATATCGATACTACTATCAAAAAGGCTTACAAAGCTATAGTGGATGGTGAAATCGATGCAAGCAATAGCAACGACAACGACGATAGCAGCTACTGCAATAGCCCAATTTCGATAATATCTGACTAGGGTATACTTTAATAACGTATCTTCAATTTCTAAAATTATAAAGATTATATTTTTGTATGGATTTAGCTTAGATTTACGATTGAAATATATCGTTATCATTGAGGTGATAGGCCCGTGCGGAGCACGGGCAATTTCATTGAAATTCTGCTACAGCAGCCGTTGGGCCCGAGTAGCTTTACCGATTCTTTCATTTGAACTCAACTAACATCGGTTGTACTAAGACCAGCCAATCGGTTATGTACGTATCATCCTTGGGCGTTTCCGGGTAAACCCTACCTTTTTCCTTGCTAGCGCCATACTATCTCCTATCTTCTAATGTAACCGGTATGTACCTACCGTGGCAGAGGGCCCAATATGTACATACATACTCGTTTTGGCACCCCGCTATTGATTTGATTTGTTTTGATTTTGCCCCCCCCTCCCCCCC